TCTTTAATCCTACAGTATTTCATTAAATAAATCATCCATTAGAAGAATTCAAACAACATCCTGAATCCGAATGATTTAATATGCACTGAAGCTAAGTGAAAATTGTCCCGTGATTGGGTATTTAAACTAGGATAAGACGAATGGAATGGAATGGAATGGAATGGAATGGAATAGAATAGAATAGAATAGAATAGAATAGAATAGAATAGAACAGAACAGAATAGAATAGAATAGAATAGAATAGAATAGAATTCTTTATTGGCGAAGTGTGATTAGACACACAAGGAATTTGTCTTAGGTGTATATGCTCTCAGTGTACATAAGGAGAATAAAATACATTCATCAGGAATAAAAAGATTCAACACTTAGTACTAATCAAGGTTACTAATAAACTATCAAATCATACTAGGAAACAAATAAAAACAATATAATTGAAAGATACAAGCAACATGGTTATAGTCATAAGTGGGAAGAGATAGATACCAGGAAGGAAGAGAATCTGACATTCAAATGACATACAAGCTAACAATAAGAACCAAGAAGGAAATTTCAGTGAAGAACCATAACAATCCAAGTCCAGTTTGCAAAATAGTAAAAGCAGAGTCACTTTCTTTGCAATATTGTAAAAAGAATGGAATTCTTCCTACAGTCTGGAATAATCTATATCAATCAATCAATATGGCTTTATTTTGGCCAGTGACTATATCATACACACATACAAAATAACTCCAAACCTAAAATCACAAGACAAATTTATTTCAACTTTACAATTAAAGGGAATTAGGGAACATGTCTTGTTTCAGTCAGGGGGCAGTGAGTTTTGTCATCTACCGTATTTTTCGGACTATAAGACGCACCGGTGTATAAGATGCACCAAGATTTCGAAGAGGTAAGCAAGAAAAAAAAGTTTTTGCTTTCCCCAGCCCCCAGGAGCACTCTGCAGGCCTCCCAAAGCCTCTGTGCACCCTGTTTTTGCGAAAAACAGGCCCGTTTTTCACAAAAATGGGACGCACAGGACAGGGCTTTGGGAGGCCAAAACTGGCTGTATTCGGTGTATAAGATGCACCAACATTTCCACCCTCTTTTAGGAGGGGGGGAGTGTGTCTTATACTCCGAAAAGTATGGTAAGTCTATATAGGCCTTGACACAAATCTCGGCCACCTCTTTATCCATCTCTGGTCTGAACAAGCAAGGAAACACAAATTGCAGTGTTTCATAGCAACCCTGGGAGGCTGATAAAACCAGTGGAATAGCCTCTACACTGGAAGTGGGCAACTATGGTCTCTATACAACCTACGGACTTCAACTCCCAGAATTCCTGAACTATCATCCCAGGAATTCTAGGAGTTGAAGTCCACAGGTCATAAAGGAGCCATAGCTATCCACCACTGCTATGTACTATGCAGAACTCTTACAATTACCTATGTTGTAAAGAGATAAAACACGAGGAGAAAGAGAGGTAGGTTAATTTATGGTTGGTCCCTTCAGGCCAAGGAGTGTATCAAAGATATACTTGGATTGACTGGAGAATTATCTAGTGAAAGACATTAGTCATATGCTTGTCACCCTGGGGGAACATTCAGTCTCTACGTTTAGAGAAACAGCTAATAGAGACAAGCTTCCATTCTTGAATGAAAGAGCCAGAGCTTCAAAGAGTTTGAAAAAAAAGTCTTCAAACATTTCAGTAAGAAGGAGTGAGAAATATATTTGTTACTCGACTGTTGACAAATCATGCTTCATGCAATTCTATACCATGCATTGTTTTTAGTGGGTTATGAAAATAGCAACCTCCGATTTCTTCATTGAAGCATTCATACTAAATACATACCAAGTATCAAAAATAATACTTGCCAAGGGATAATAATATGGACGCTGAAACAACAGCTCCAAATGAATTTACCCTCAAAGGCCTGCTTCAAACACATATCACTTGACTTCTCAATACTAAAACGTCAAGGCAGTTTGGAAGAATCTGATGACTTAGTTGATTAGTAATTGGTCTCTTTTTGAGTAGTGGGGTGGGTAATGTGGGGGAAAATTAAAGAAGCTAGTATTTTCCTTTTGCACATAAGATCCATACACAGCCATGGAAAAGAGTAACAGGAAAGGATCAACAAGGGACATCAAAAAGTCAAGAATGTGCTCACAACTGCACAAGTGAAGGCTCACCTGAGGATGCCCCTTGGAGAAACACAAGTCATCTCAAATTTGGGTGGTGATAAAAGCCACTTTATTGAGGGGTATTCTGCTGTTCTAATCTTTTTCAATTTAATATTAAAGAACTAGCAGCATTCCCAGGGCTCTATGACTAGATCTTTGAAATATGGATCTCTGTAATAAGTTAAAATTATTAATATACAGGTAGTCCTTGACTAACAACAGTACATTTAGTGACCATTCAAAATGACAACGGGATTGAAAAAAGTGATTTATGACCTTTTTCACACTTATGACTGTTGCAGCAGCCGTGTGGTCATGTGATCAAAATCCAGATACTTGGCAACTGGTTCATATTTATGACAGTTGCAATGTCCTGTAGTCACATCATCATCTTCTGTGACCTGCTGACAAGCTAAGTCAATGGGGAAGCTAGATTCCCTTAACAACTGTAGCAAGAAGTCATAAAATGGGGCAAAACTCACTTAACAAAATGTTTCATTTAACAACAGAAACGTTGGGCTCAAATGTGGTCATAAATCGGGGACTATCTGTATAGGATTGGAAAAGTGAATGTTTTAACGATTGTGTAAAAGCCTAGGCTGAAAACTTTTTATGTTAATTGTATAAAGCTTTTGATCACAACAGATCAGTGATATTATGGGGACTCCATTCCAATAATAGTAAAATAGTATTTACTTCTGATATTGTATTTACCATATAGCATAATGTAATGTGTGATGAAACATTAAAAGTGAAATATTTTTTAACACTGAGTTTTTTTATTTCATGTATTATAAAGATGGGCACAGATTTTCAGTATCTCTAATTTTGTCTTCTCTTTTAAATATATATCAGAGAAAGCAGTAAAATTTGCAATGCGGTGTGGCTGCATGTATTCTACAACAGATTTTTATCAGGTGACCTTATGCGAGATGAAAGTCGGCTGTACTATAAATTTGAAAATGGTCCATCCTACTCTATCTAAAAAGGTTATTTGCAATGACCTAAATAACCCATCTTAAATTGGGGTGGTTTGTATGGACATTGGCTCCTTCCTCAATGTTAATAATAATGAATTATTAAATTTATATGCTTCCCAACTCCCAGTGACTCGCTTTCTGACAAGGCGACTTAGTAATATATGTGAAATTGAAAGAGGGAGTCAGACATAAAAAGGAGGGAGGAACAGAGGGGGAAAAACAACTTCATAGTTTGTATTGTTAATAGAGATACAAACTGAGAATAATGACCTACTCTAGTGAGATCCAGGTTCAAATTTCTCCACTCAGCCAAGAAGCTCATTAGCTAACTTGGATCAGACGCTCTCTCCCAGCCTGACCTATCTCACAGGCTTGTTGAGAAAGGAGAACAATGGGAAGAAGATAGTCATCTAGGCCAGGGGCCTCCAACCTTGGCAACTTTTAAGCTTGGTGGACTTCAACTCCCAGAATTCCCCAGCCAGGGAGTTGGAGTTCTCCAAGCTTAAAGTTGCCAAGGTTGGAGACCCCTGATCTAGGCTATTTTAAACTTCTGGAGAGAAGGTGGGATAGAAATTATGGATTCATCTACCTAGAGAATTGGCTGCTTTATCCACAGCCTAGACCACCATAATGTTCCCTTAACATTATGACACATATAGTATATCTCAAGAAAACAGCTTGAGTTTCCCACCAGTTGACATACTATATATCCTATGGTTTTGTTAAAAGGACAATTAGTAGCCTTGTCCTCCATTCACATCCCTCTGTCATTTTCTCCGCAGTTTTCTTGGCAAGTATTTTTTTAAGAAGCTGCCAAGAAAACTGCACAAGTTTTAGAAGTCTAAAAACTTTTAGAAGTTGTTTTTTTTTAAGAAGTTGCCTAGGAAGGAGACCATTGCCTCCTTCCTAGGACTGGGAGAGAGGGGGTCACCCAGCCAGCTTTGTACCTAAAACAGGACTAGATTATACCTTAACAGCTACACCACATACCTTTCCTCTAAGCCAGTGGTTCTCAACCTTCCTAATGCTGCGACCCTTTAATACAGTTCCTCATGTTGTGGTGACCCCCAACCATAAAATTATTCCTAAAACCATTGAAAATATGTGTTTTCCAATGGCCTTAAGCGACCCCTGTGAAAGGGTCATTCGACCCCCCCAAAGGGGTTGCGACCCACGGGTTGAGAACCACTGCTCTAAGCCTATTTTAAAGCAACGCAAGATGAGCTGTAAAAGTTACCTGCTAAATTGCAGATTGTACCACATTATAAATTCCCTGTAAACAAGAGATTGCATTACAGGTGCCTTTGCTAGTTTTAAAAACCTCTCTCTCCAGTCCAGTATAAAGTTAAAAGTTAGAAATCATAGATTAACAGAGTTGGAAGGGACCTTATAGGTCATCTAGTCCCACCTCAAGAAGGAGACCCTACACAATTTCTGACAAATGGCAGTCCAATCTTTTCTTGAAAGTCTCAAGTTTCCGAAAGTTAGTTAGTTTGTTTGCTGCAGGAGGCTAACTCAGGTACTCAACTGGATTACCCTGCCCACAACAAGAAAACACTTTTGTAAACCCTTTTGTTCTCACAAAACTTTCCCTGAAGTTTTAATCCGGATTCTTTCCCTGGCCCTTTGTGGGGGAGTTTTACAAGGGCCCAACTTAAAACTCAAGGAGATGTTTTTTTAAAAAAAATTCTCACACTGCCCGTGAAATAAAGGAGGAAGCGGAGGCTTATAAAAATTGTTTCTCGCACCTTAAGGGCGAAGGGAGAGGAAACTTTCAAGAAAACCTGCACCGAAAAAAGCTTGGAGGGAGGCGGAAAAGGGCCCAGGGAAGCCGCTTCCCCGCCGAGCCGAGGCACTCACCGTTGACCAGGGAGCTCCTGCTCTTCCGGGCCAAAGTCTGCTGGATTTGCCGCTGGATGCGGAGCGACTTTTGCGCTTCGGCTCTCCCGCCCGACAGCTTCGACGGCAAGGCGAGCGTGGAACTGTCTTGCTCCTCCAGACCCTGCTGGCCCAAGACGGTGCGGATGTAGCCGGAGTCGGAACCGGAGAAGGGAACTGCCATGGTGGCTGGGCGAGAGAGAGCACTGACCTCGGCGACTGGCGGGCAGTTGTCGGCCGCGCTCCGGCCGGGACGGACTGAACTGGGCAGGGCTGAGGGACCTGCCGAGGGGTTGAGCGAGCCTCCACCTTCTGGCGGAGGAGCGCGGCGGCAACAACCGGGCCCCTCCCTTCCACCCACCTACCCAACCACCCACCCCGCGGGAATCTGCCGGCCGCACCCGCGGGGCAGCTCCGCCTCCCGCGCCTCCTGTTTGGGCCCGCGTCACCTTTTCATTCAGCCGGCCCGCCGAGTCGCCTCGGGCGTTCCGGGAACTGCTGTGAAATTCTCCTGAGATCTAGTGGCGGGGCAGGTGGTGGGAAAAGCAAATTGCAGAAGAAAGCCAGAAAATCGAGGCCGGTCGGGACTCGGGAGTAAAAGGGATAGTGGGCTCGTTGTGTCGTTAAACTCGGGAGTAAGTCCCGGAGTAAATCCCCGAACATCGCGCCCGTCTGGGGTGGGGAGTAAGAGGGGTGGGGAGCGGATGGCGATTAACCCTTTGCTGGGAAGGGTGAGGAAAACTGGTCCTTGAAACGGGATGACCTGAGAATCCACGCTAAGCCCAGCAGGCCTTTTACGGTTGTGTAAGTATAGGTAATCCTCGATTTACCACCACAATGGAGCCCAACATTGCTGTTGCTGAGTGAAACGTCTTTCTTGCCACCGTAGTGGGTGAATTTAGTAGCGGGTTTGTTGAATGACTCTGGTTATCCCAGAGGTCAGCAACCTGTGGCTCAGGAGCCACATGTGGCTCTTTGGGCCCTCTGCTGTGGCTCCCTGTCGGGTGATCCCACCACTGGCTGGCCCCACCCCTCGCCCTCCCCTCCAGTCACACCTCACCTGGCCTGAGAAGGTAAGGGTGATGGTCAGGGGTGGGTTCTACTTACCTTTACTACCGGTTCGCAACGGGGCCGCGCGCCGTTCTATAGAACGGTGGGGGGGGCGGCAACCCACCACTGGTGATGGCAGATGATGGAGAAGCAGCCAGGGCAGAGACATAGAGCGAAACAGAGAGAGAGGAGGGAGGGAGAGAGGGAGGCAGGGGAGAGAGAGATATGTCAAAAGTGTTTTGTGGTTCCCGATGTTTTTTAACAACCGGTTCTCTGCCCTAATGACCGCCTGGGTAGGCATGACTGGGGGGGGGGGGGTGTCATGTGACTGGCAGAAGTAAGTGACATCGAGTTGGCCACACCCACCCAGGTTTTGTGGCTCCTGGTGTTTTCTGTGGGAAATGGGTCCAAATGGCTCTTTGAGTACTTAAGGTTGCAGACCCCTGGGTTATCCCATTGACTTGGCTTGTCAGAAGGTCCCAAAAGGTGACCACATGACCCCCCCCAAGGCACAGCAACTGTCATAAATATGAATAGTGGCCAAGCATCTGAATTTTGATCATGTGACCAGGAGCAACGATTGTAAGTGTGAAAAATGCTCGTAAGTCATTTTTTTTTCAGTGCCGTTGTAACTTCGAACAGTCACTAAGTGAACTGTTGTAATTCGAGGACTACCTGCAGTGGCAGATTAAGGCTCACTGGTATCCTAAGCACTGACTAATCTTGGTGCTTTTTTTTTTTTTTTTTTTTTTACAAATCTTCATTGTTCTTTTTTTTCTTTTTCAACTTTCTGGTGCCCCCTTTGGGCCTGGTGCCCTAAACACATGCTTAGTCTACTTAATGGTTACTACACCACTGACTACTCTCCACTTCCTCAGGAGCGCTTTCGTTTCTTCACCGGGTTGATTTCATCCTCTCCCCCCCTCCCCATTTTAAATTTAGGGTGGTGGGGGGAAGGGATGGGAAGACAGGCTTGCTGCTAGTCGAATCCCTCTATGTATCTGATGAAGTGGGCAGCAGCTGTCCAAAACCGTAGCTAAGGGTTGAATTGTAAGGTCCTTGGTGCTCTCTGAACTTGGTGGTTTTCTTGCAGGCATTTCGTTACCAAACTAGGTAACATCAATGCACTGATAATGTTACCTAGTTTGGTAATGAAATGTCTGCAGGAAAACCTATAAGCTCAAGACAGCACCAAGGATCCCACAGCTAACCAAAGTTTCGGCCTTTTAATAAATTATGTTATTTGGGAAAGTTGCCATCACTTTTTTTTAATGCTGCCATAAAGTTGCAGGGCCCTCCTCTTATAATAACCTCTTTTCCAAAAGTTAGACCTTACCCTGGTGCTCCCACCTTTCTCTGTGAGCATTACAAAATGCAGAGCACCCAGAAGTTAGACGAACAGGTCTCCTATAATGAAGCTCTTTTCCAAACCCTTCTATAAATCAGCTGGCCTCATCACTTCTTGTGTAATGGGATCTCACGATCCACTTACTGTATAAACTGTCAGTCCCGAATCCACTGTAAACCTTGACCTTTGGCTGCTGACTCAGTAGCCTTAACTCTTCAACTAAATTCAGGTTTATAAATAATCTGTTAAATCAATTTGATATGAAAGAGCAATTGATAGATTTGTGCCAACCTCACTAAGTAAAATGCCTTAGGAAAACTTTAGAGCAATTACCTATTAAAATGACCAGAGATTAACACTAAACCAACAATCAAGGAGAAACAATACTCTAATCAAGAAACTACCAACTCAGACAAACAAGCTAACAGTAAACCCAATCAAGGACCTACTAAAACTACTCTCACCAGCACTGACAGAGCAAGCAACTAATGTATAAAATGTGAGCAAATCCTATTTCCTTACTGGCATGGATGATGTTACCTACTTTGGTAATAAAATGTCTGCAAGAACGCCACTCTGCAAGCTCAGAGAATACCAAGGAACCCCACAGTTCAACCCTGAGCTAAAATAGTATCTTCTATAAGTACCTATTATAATTCTGCATTGACATTGTAAGAAACAGTTGCCATTTTTTGAGCTAAAATGGTTTGAGGAGGATATCAATTTATTCCCCAGGCTGTACAGGGAGGGGAACAATTCTTATTATGTTCATCTTTTCAAAATAACACTGATGAGCTTTTCACTCTGGGATCTTTAACATTTTTTCTGGATTAAAAATTAACATTTTCAGTAAGCTCTTATCTGCTGTCTTGTGATGCAATGCTTACACACTGTTTTTTGTCTGTGACTCAGGAAGTTTCAGGTGAATGCTAATCCATGTTTGGAAATTTTCCAAGATGGTGTCAATCTCTTCCCTGCCCAAAAAGGAATAAGTGTTGAATTATTCCTTTTTTTGGTCGCGTTCTATGGATACTCTTGCATACCTATTGTTGGTAAACACTATTTTTTCTTGAGAGTTGCAGAAAGTGGCATTATGACTGAGTGAAGGAGGACTTGAATAGGATGTGATGGCCTTTAAGAGCAGGAAATGTGTTCTTTTTTTTATTTCTGCAAGTTTTATCTTTACATTATCTCCTTTTGTGAATTTACACAATAGCTGGTTTTATTGCTCTTTTAGATATCGTACCTGTATTTGATTGGATTTTATACTTCCCACCTTTTTTCTGTAAACCTGCCAGGGAATCTTTGGTTCTTGCAAAGATGAACTTTGCAAATAAGTACAATTTTGAAAGACCTGGAAACTAGTCTTCTCTTCACCAAGACCTCTATGGAAGAACAGAAAAACTGTGGATATGGAGCATATATTCATTGTACAAATCAACCCAGAGGTCTCAGTTGAGGCACAAATGACCAAAGTCAAATGATCCTCCTTCAGATGTTATGCAAAGACCCAGCTCTCTGGGGAAGGCTTTAATGCTGGGAAAGGTAGAAGAAGGAGAAGGAGAAGGAGAAGGAGAAGGAGAAGGGGAAGGGGGAGGAGAAGGAGGAGGAGGAGGAGGAGGAGGAGGAGGAGGAGGAGGAGGAGGAGAAGAATAAGAATACAGGTGGCAATGGAGGCACTATTGGAAAACCTGAAACCCCAGGTTAAGGGCAGATCTCCATGGAGAAAACCTATCTATGAGGTTGTTCAGAGTTCAGAATGACTTGATGGCATGTAATCAATCTTCATTCTTTGGAGAGGAGTTTATGATGTTGGCAAAGGATGATACAGCTCTCCTAGTGTTGTGGAGAAAAAATATAGAGTGAATAGAGTTCAATTCCTGAAGGAAAGTTGAGATGGAAATACAGGTGGTCCTTGACTTACAACCATTCGTTTGGCGACTATTTAATGTTACAATGGCACTGAAAAATGTGACATACTTATGACCATTGAAGCATCTCCATGGTCATGTGATCAGACATTTTGCAACTGGTTCATATTTATGACAGTTGCTGTGTCCTGGGATCACATGATCACCATTTGTGACCTTCTGACAAATAAATTCACTGGGAAACTGTTACTAATTTAACAACTGCAGTGATTCACTTAGCAAGTATGACAAGAAAGGCTTCCAATGTTATTCACTATGTTTTATATATAAATATTATGAAGATCTCTCAAATGTTCAATGGTGTCTCACTTAAGTAAAACAAATTGCTTTTCTGGAATTTCTTGCTGTTTGGTGTAAAGAAGAAAGAATGGTAGTAAATTAGATAAGCATTTCAGAACTTGACTTTAGTCACATGGGGGTGGGGGCAGGGGTGAAATCCAGCAGGTTCTGGAGAACCGGTAGCAGAAATTTTGAGCAGTTCGGAGAACGGGCAAATACCACCACTGGCTGGCCCCAGAGTGGGTTGGGAATAGGGATTTTGCAGTATCCTTCCCCTGGAGTGGGGTGGGAATGGAGATTTTGCAGTATCCTTCCCCTGCCACGCCCACCAAGCCACGCCCACAGAACTGGTAGGAAAAAATTTGGATTTCACCACCGGGTGGGGGTGGTGGGGGTTTCTATTTATTCCATAAATAGAAAGGAGAAAGAGGAAGCCTGCTTTGCATTGCCCTGAGCCATATTCCTGTCTGTTTGCACACCACATTATCAGAACCAGTCTTGGTAATGAACCTTTCACTGACACCACGCAAACAAAGGAAAAGCCAGCACTGCTGAATTTGGAAACCACCTAAAGGCAAAAGGTTCAACTCCAAAGCGCAACTATACCTGAATGCTTATGAACAATTCTTGAGACTAGAGTATCTGAGTATCTAATTAGAGAGACTAGAGTATCTACTGACGGCTATTAGAATTCTAATAATTCT